CGTTTATCATGTCTAATAGAGTACGATTTTTTCTTTCAACAATTCCGTTAGATTGAGAAGCATAGGGAGGAGTGACTTCATGAATAATGCCATGTGTTTCAAAAAATTCACCCATTTCATTAGAAGAATATTCTCCCCCTCTATTAGAACGAAAAATTTTAATACTATTTTCTAATTGATTTTCAACTTCTGCTTTATAAACTTTGAATTTTTCAAATAACTCACTTTTATGAATAATCAAGTATACATAGCAATATTTTGAGAAGTCATCAATGAAGGTAATAAAGTATTTCTTCCCACCACGAGTAATAACACCATTGCTATCACATATATCACTATGAATGAGTTCAAGCAAGCAAGTTTCCTTTTGGACAGAATTTTGAAAAGATTTTATAGGTTGTTTAGCTTGAACACAAACTTCACATTTTTGTTTCAATGCATTAAAAAATTTAGGAATAAGATCAAGAGTTATCATTCTTTAAATAGAATTCAAGTTAACATGTCCAAGTCTACCATGCCAAATGTCACAACATTCAACATTTGAAATAGAAGATGAAGAAATGCTAGAATTTTTATTAATAAAGGAAGACATGAGATTAAGTTTAAACAAACCGTCACAAATATATCATTTTCCCAACAAAAGAACCATGTCAAGAAATTACAACTCTATTGGAATCAAAAACAACTTTAAAACCTTGTTGAACTAACAAAGCAACACTAATCAAAAATTTTCTAATTTCAAAAACATGAAAGACTTCATCTAAAACAAGACATTTCCTAAAGATAATTCTAATTCTATTCGGCCTAGACCAATGACACATGCTAGGCTCCTATTCCCCATGCTTACTGTACGTGTGCCACATTCCTGATATGAAGAAAATAATTTTTTATCAGCACACACATGAACATTAGCTCTAGAGTCAATCCACCAATCAATTGAGTTATAAATAAAATTTAACTCTGGGCTAGTGACATGGTACCTATTAGATGGGGAATCTGAGCAAGCATTAGCAGTAACAACATTAGCTTGAGGCTGAGACGATGATTTGGGATCAGATGTAATGTCTTTTGGTTGACAACGACGATGAAAACAATCCTTAGCAAAATGATTGTTTCTTCCACAAACAATGCAGAAAGACTCATTTCCTTAAATTTTACTCTTTGGTTTGTAGTTGTTATTAAAAGCCTTATTTTTATTTTTGGAGAAATAAGAGCTTTGACCAAACTTATTATTATTGCAAAAATCATATTTTTTGAAATTTTTTTGTTTAGGCTTATTAGCGTTTTCCACTAAATGAGCCTTAGCCTGAAAAAGGGGTTTACGAGAATCCTTTCGTGAAATAAGATGTTTATCTTCAATTTGCAAGGTAACCAACAAATCAGATAAATTGAAATGATCAGGTTTATGCTTAAGGCTTCTTGCAAATTCAGACCAAGAAAGAGGCAATTTAGAAATTAACAAACTAACAAGTCTTATGTCAGGCAAAGTAATTTCTTTCATCTTCATATCATAAATAATATTTTCAAATTCATGAACTTGGTCAGAGAAAGGTTTTCCATCTTCCATTTGAAAATAAATCATTCTTTCATAAGAGTATCGTCTTAAACCCTTTTTCAGCAGAACTATACTTTAGTTCAAGAGCATCCCATAACTCCAAAGCAATTTTTGTATGACAAAATATTTTATAAATATTATCAGATAAAGTACTCAAAATACGACCATTACACAAAATATATTTATCACTAAAAGTATCATTAGAAGAACTAGCTTCAACCAAGGCACAATCAAAACATTTTTCAGATTTTCCATTTAAAATAACAGAAAATAAACTCAACTCTGTAAGCCAAAATTTCATCTGTTGTTAACATAAAAAAATTTACTCCATTAAATTTTTCTGGCTTACTACTCAAAGACTTTAAAATATCCATTGCAGACATGTTAATATTGAACAAGAAAAGAAAATTTGTCTCTCTAAGATTGTTAGAGAAGTAAATTTAATAGAGCAAAAGAAAAAAATAAATATTTAGATTTATGAATAAAATCAATATCAACAACACAATAAATACTATAAAATTAAAAAATAAAACAATCAGTAATAACTAATTAAACACAAAGAGAATTAAAATATTAAATAATAAGTCTAAAGTAGTCTGGGTTGAAGCACGCAGAGTGCTATCCTTAGAGAGAAAACGGCCCCACTACACTGGTAATTTTGAGTCTTATAATGCACTCCTCTCCCAAGATACGTCAACCCGTTAGACCGTTCGAGTGCAGCGAAAAATCTCCGAACCAAAGAACACTGCTCCAAAATATATATTTTAGTAGTAGAAATAATTTTGAAGGAGAGATTAATGAAATTGTTGTGTATTTTTCTGTATATTTTTTTCACGTACTAATGCATATATAGACACAATAATAGATACCTTTTTTCAAATCCAGAGTACGTGCATCAGTTTTATCTTTTATTTACTTTGCAAACTCTCCGGTAACAGTAAACAAGTGGATGTACTTGTGCTAACTAATCTGAAAAAACGTGAGACTTGGTCAAAGGTGAAAAATCAAAAACTGTTTTGGTTTTGAAACGTTATAGTTTTGCTCCAATAATTTATCATTTCTTCCGTTGGTGATAAAAATAAAATAAATAATTAAATAAATAAATAAATATTAAATAAAAAAAACACTCAATGGTGTCCAGTGAGGTACTGTTTGGCTTTTGTTTTCCATATGATGAAAGTTTAAAAAAAAAAAAACTTAATTTTGCTAGTTTTTCTTGAATTAACTTAAAAGAGCTAAATTCAAGGATAACTCTTTCTATCACCATTTGTCCATTCCATGCGGGGATGAATGCGTTGAATTTATACATGTCTTTGCTCTCTGACTAACTTCTCCCATATATACTTTACACAGTTTGCAATGAACATACCCTGAGAAACCTTCTCAACACTTAAATTATCTCTTCTTCATTTTTTTCTTTCTCTCTTTCTTTTCTTAAAGGATTTCAAAAGCTTTGCTGTAATTTGGAAAACAGAAAATAAATTGAAGAAATCCAAAGATAGAATACTGCAGCCCAGAAAACAAAATCTGAAACTAGCTCCACCTACTTGACATGATACAACGAGCGCAAAATAAATGAAACAGTACAAAATTCTAACAGCTCACCAAATTAAATGAGTGTAGGTTGGAATTATATGTCCCATTAATTTTTTTCCCTCTCTAATTAAAGAATAACATGTCATTAAAAACAATATTTTTCCTAGGTACGTAGCTTTTGTTGCTACATGGTGTCATTTTCTAATGAAGAGGAACAGAAAATAATGCATGCATGAGGTGCTTGAGTGTATAACATGATAAAGCAGTTCAGATTGATATGTACTAATATATAGTGATCTTGCATTGGTCTCACTTGATTATATTTTTATACCTTATCTAGACACCAAGTATGTAGGACCATACGAAAATCAAACCTTGAAAATACTTATATAACTTGTTGAGCAAATTGTGAAGTGTAATACTCCTCCATATATACATTGAAATGTTAAAATGCTTTTTTTTTAATCTCTTTTAGGTTCCTATATATAGTTTAAAATAGATATTTTTAATCTTTATATTTATAATTTTTTAATCTTTTTTAGTCTTTCATCAATTTTTTTGTAACATTATTTGATATGTTAGAGATTTTCAATTTTGTAAGAACAAAAAAAATCGTTTATCAGCAAGTAAAGATACAAAAGAATCACGAATGACGAAAAAACTTAATTTTGAATAACTCCATCAAAATAAATTCGACATCAAATAAATAAAGTTGAATTAATACTTCTGAGCATTAAAAAAATGGCATGATGTAGGAATATAAAAGAGATATGAAATGTTAAAGAGACCTAACTTAAATTAACTTCAAAAAAAATTCAAAAATAGTGAAAACACGTTGGAATATATAAGATCGATTATTTTATGCAATTTCCCTTCTTCGGATTATTACCCACTCGCTAGTTGGCTAAGCTAGAAGTTATTCTTGACGTAAGGAATAACAATGCATCAGCTTCCCTTGTACAATATATCAACTTTTTGCTTTAAATTTTAATGAGTTGAAATAATTTTTTAGTCTTATAATTTTATTTTTTTACCTTTTAATCTTTATAATTTAAAAATAGACTTTTTAGTTGTATACTTATATCTTTTTAGTTTCTATATATATAATTTTTTAATCCTTTTAATTTTTGTTATTAATTCTACAACATAAAACAAATAACATTTCAAAAAAATTAATAACAAAAATGAAAAGAATTAAAAATTTGTAAAAGATAAGTACAAAAACTAAAGAAATATACTAATGTTAACTTTTACAAATTTATCTTAAAAGATATATTAATATTAATTTTTTATTGATTAGCAATGTAAAAAAATTTCACTAATAGTGTGTGATTATTAAACAAAAGAATTGAAACTTGATAACCACAAAATAAAAGTTTATTTTCCATGCAATGTTATTTAGTAAAATTTACACTACCAACTAAAAAAATATGATAGATATAATTTTATGATAATTATTATAAAAATTAATAAACTTATTAATTTACTATACATATAATGATATTGTGACTGTAAAAATCTTTTATACTATTAGTAAATTTAAATTACATTAAAAAATGTTCTGGCTTTTTTTTTCTTCTCTCTTTTGGTACAATGGCAATTTAATAAAACTTGGATTACAATTTTAATAATTGAAATGGGCTAGTCATAAGTCATTTTATTTTTTTTCTCCTTTATTTTTTCCTCTTATTATTTTCGCTTTTAACAATAGCCTAAGCTCACAGACACCAAATCTTTTGAAGAGTTTTTCATTTGACGAGGGTTTTTTTATTGATTCAAAAATGAGTCAACTGCACTTGAAAATCATCATATCATATATTTCCTACATATATCTTCACAAATTCCAATCACACTTCAAACTAAACAGTCAAGTGTTTCCATGGAAGCTGTATACATGTTCAGGTAGAAATTATAATGAAAGATGTTTTATATATAACTGCATGTTCATCCAACAAGAAGATTATGTGCCAGTTTTTGTTTACATGAACCCTTTATTCAATGAATTTAACCAATGGAAATTAAATTACAAATTGAAAAGGGTAAACTAATTGGGAACCTAACTTGCATTGAACTCATCTACAGCTTCAACCTAATCCAGGAAGACACACTGTACTACCCTATGATCTTAAACATTTCTTTTTAAGTTAAGTCGACAAATTATGTTGATGCTATCTTAGTATGCACACCTACTCAAGAAGCTTATTGCAGGTGCCTACACCAACAGCAGCAGCAAGATGCCATGCAGCATGAAGGTAAGGAGTTTTAGGAAATATATCATCAGCTATAAACAACGCTGCACCAATTACTGTTGACATTTTATGCACTGTGTGAGCCATCCTCAAGTCTGGATCCTTCAATGCCCTTCTAGCAAATGCAACCTGAATAAAAACAATTAAGAGACAAGCTTAATTATAAAATATATACTTTTAATTATTGACAAGATCATTTTTTTTTATTTTATGTATAATACTTTTACTCAAAATAATGCCCTTCTAGCAAAATACTTTTTTCATCGTCAAAATAACATAAATAAAATATTTACTAGCTCCAATATTTATTGTTTATTTAATTGTGCAAATTTTAATTTTATCTGTCCTATGACTATCCTCGAATTAAGGGGCGGATCTATAAAGCGAATTAAGAGAAAGACCAACGTAACAATATTTTCATACATTGCATGAATATTTTTAAATATTTGATTTTGCTATCCGTTAAAAGCAATAGTAAATAATCAAAAGTGAAAAGCTTTTAAATAAATAATCAAGACATTTGAAATTGATGTATATTACGAAAATAAATTGTGTGAATCAACTTAAATTCAAAATGTATTAACTTCAAATATACATATACATAATTCATATATACAAACCTTTTGATATTAATAATCGGATAAGTTAAGAAAAAATAAATCTAACAAATAGTGTTTGAAAAATAAAATAAACTAATGAAAAAATGTAAGATGCCAGAGGTATAAGTCCTAAAATACCAAGTGTACTCAAAATTAATATATACAAATTAATTGGTAAATTATACAAGACTCCATTTTTTAATATACATATACTTTTTAACGAGGACTGCATATAATATTTTATTACAATGGTTGAACTAGGTTTTCTGCTATAAGTCCGTATTAAGCATGACTGATCTTCTTATTAACTCAATGACTAAAATCAAATTATGTAGTGATAACAAAACTCAACCACAATAAGTGTATGTTAGGAATAGATTTAAAAACGTGGGTCTTACATTCTCTCACCACGTTTGGAATGTAAAATATGCAGAAGCAACAATAGATAGCTTCAGATGAACGTGGAAAATCATGTCAAAGACGAACATGCAAACACACTCTAATAGCTGGATTGTGAAACTGATTGCAATTTATTTTCACACTTGAACCGTTATATTTCATTAAGTATATCTTGATAATATTTATATTTGGATTGTATTCTAGTGTCAGAATCAATGTATCAACAAATTTAATCAAGGTCAGTTCAGTTGGTTGGCCAAATCTGGTATTAGGCAAACTATTAGACCGTTATGTCTTGTTAATTTCGTATGAGACAGTTACATTTTAGGATATGATAGTTATAATGTTGTAAATATCGTTGCAGACTTATAGGGGGAATTAATCTGTTAGTTTGTAGTTAATGTTTTGAAGTAGGAAGCTCTTTGTAAGGGAAAACCCTTGTGTACTTGAATGCTTTTGCTGCAAATATCTAGTCATTAAAACAGATTGTTTCTTTAATACAATAATACAATCATTGTTTTGTGTATATAAGTTTATAGTTCAACAATTTTGGTTTGACCTGCCAATGCGAATCGCAAGGAAGGACTTGAGGGTGGAAGGATTGGATAGACAGATGGAAGAAATCAACAAGTCCGGTGAAGGAATGCAAAAAAATAAAAATGTTTGGAAACAAGTAGCATGGAGGAGACGAAGATTCTGTTGAGAGAGATGGTAATCAAAAGGCTTAAATGATGGAAGAACCTGCTGCAGGGAGTTCTAACAAATTAGGACCCCTGTACAGCATGATCAACCCTTTGGAAATCAATTCTACCAAATCTGAAGAGGATTGAACAAAGCACTTAAAAAAGCACTCAAGAAAGTTGAATTTTCGAACTTTGACCCAGTTGGGCGGCTGCCAGAGAAGCGAAGTTTATTGAGATTCAAAATACTTAACCCGAATTGAAAGTTTCTCTTTCCTTTGTGTCTATAGAGGACTTTGCAGTACATTGGTTTAGATATTTGAGAAAGAGAAGGCTAAAATTGAAATGGCAGGATTTAAAGGAAGAATTGTTGATAAGATTTTCAAATAGTGTTGTGGCCACTGGCCAATGCTTATGAACAACTAGTGGCTATCAAACAGACTGTGTTTATGAAAGAATACATACAAAAGCTTAAAGTGCTTCTTGCCCAATTACAATAAATATCTGATGCAATTGCTTTAGGTTGTTTTGTGAATGATTGATAGATGTCACACAGAGGAAGGTGCGCACTCATGGTCTTCAAGATGTAATGAACGGAGGATGAAATTGTATGGTGACTACATGGAAAATCAGTTGCATCGCATAACCAAAAAGAATTTCCCCTTATCTCAGGCAAGGAACAACCAAAATGATTACAGAACTTCTCAAAGTTCCTGGATATGGCAAGGAATCACAAAGGACGTGCCAGAGTAGTGATTTTGGGCAAAACTGAGACAAAGGTTGTGCCCCAACTGAGAATCAAAGAGGGGTCATTGACACAAGCAAATGCAAGCTAGTTCTTCTGGGAGCATGCAGCAAGCATTTCAATTCAGAAAGAGGTAGATAAAAAATTGCTAAACTTAAATAAGTGAAAAGAAGAGAAGAAAATAGTTGTTTTATGTGTGTCCAACAATATGAACCAACCCATCGATGTCATGAGAAGAAATTGAATGTGATTTTGTTTGGGGTAGATGATGAACGGGTGGAAGATGATGAATGAATGTGAGGTAACTGAATTGATGGAACCAAATTCAAATTCAAGCACAGATCTGCAAAGGATACTTTCATCATTTTATCCTAGAGGACAAGGCTTCATCCATATAAAGAGGCCTTGATAGGCCAAGTTGTATGCTATTCTGTATTAGGCAGCTATTTTTTAGGATGTAACAGTTTTAATTTATACATATATGGTTCAACAGACTTGTAGGAGGAACTAAGGTGTCAGTTTGTTGTTAATTTCCAAAAACCTCTTGTAAGAGGATACACTTGTGTGCTGAGCGCTTGTACTGCAAATCTGGTCATTATACCAGATTGTTTCCGAAACACAATCACTGTTGTGTTTCTAATTTTAGTGTCCAACATCAGTGATATTAAATGTTTACTTGGTCACTTGTGCTTTTTAAATGAAAAACTAATTCATCATAAATAAATAGAAAACCAGCATACCTCCATCATCCCAGTGTGAAGAACTGAAACCATCATCGGATTAACTGGAAGACATATTGCAGATGCTGCCGTCAGTAACTTTGGATTCTCATTTCTGAGGGCCATTGACAAGCACTGCAAAATGATTTTATATTCAAATATTATCTAGTTGATTTACTCAAGGAAAAGCCTAAATAATATCAAGCTAGACAATAAAGAAAAATGCAATAACCTAAGATATAGAGAAAACATTTTAGATTGTGTCAAATACATGCACACAATATTTAGGCATTGTTGAACCCCCACCTCGACACAAGTTCTAGAAGGGATGGAGTTGGTATTAGAGAAAAAGTAGGCAGACTAAAATTATATATAATTAAATTTACAAAAAGAAATTCAAGAAATAACTACCTGATCAGTCAATTGTAAGAAAATAAACCTTGAAAGACTAATGGCAAGTTAGAATCAAGGAATTTATTTAAAAATTAATGAGCATCTTCTGCATAAAATTGTTCAAAACGAATAATGTAGTATTCCAGTATCCTGGTCTAGACAACATTGATAAGTGCTTTCAATTCCAAGAGATATGGCAGGTATAATCAGGATTTTGCATGCTACTGAATAGCCTATAATTATATTTATCTAGTATGTTTCTTACAACAGTAGTTGCAGCAATCATTGTGTAGTCAACCCATCTCAAAAATTTCCTCAACCTCCCTCTTGAAGAATGGTACACGCTTGAGGCCACTCCGACTCCAATTAGTGAGTTAGCATACAGCTTAGAATTAAGATTCTTCCTACATTCCACAATTATCTATATGATTACAAAGATGTTTCTTCTAGCAAAAATTTTATGATGCTTGGAGCAAAATATTACCTGGGGGCTTGGATTCCAAGAGCTATAAAAGGAATTGAAGTAAGCACATTTGCAACTGTTTCGGCAAGATGCTGATCACCTGATAAGAGGATGCAGAAATAGAAGTTATTTACATGAGATTGAACCATTCATGGGAAACCAATAAAATAACATTAAATGGAAAGAAAATTTCTCAATAGTACCATGACAACTAATACTACAATGGATTGGTCTCAATAATGCTGGTCTCTGTTGCCATAGTCGTCTGGTGAACAGGTAAATAGTAGGTTAGAGTGTGAATGGCTTTGTAAATTTTCAATTCTACTTAATGTCATAAAAATTACAATTAAGTAAAAATTGTATGACATTTTTTATAGGTATATATTTCACTCACTGCATTAACAGCAGCCGATTTGCTTCAGTAGTTGGCGCTCCACCATTTGAAGTACTAAAGTCTCCACTCTGATTAGTTTCTGTGAAATCAAATGGTGAGTGAGGCACCACTTGGACTCCATGGACACCCTCAAGAGTTCTACTGTGATTCATTATGCTCTTTTGAGTCGTATCCTTCCCCCAGAACATGCAGGTCAACTTGAGTGCCAGCAAGAAGTTGCTGGCACTGGTAGGTTGGAGAGTATTGAGTTCTAGCCAACAATGCTGCACTAAAAACAGAATATTCTTTCAACCACAAGCAAATTTTAACATAAAAGCACGCAGAACTGCTAATGACAGTGATTATTATAACAAATCATAAAAGAATTTAATTCAGGTGACCTTCCACTATATGTGTAATTAATTTGCCATGATCAAAATTAGGTTGCCTTCTAACTTAAAAAAAAAAAAAATATTGAGTGGACTTTTTTAACTGGTACATGACATTTAATCCTGACCACCAGTTATGTATGGTCATATAATTCAGATGTACTCCTCTGACTCCCATATAAAAGTGAACCTCTCACTATATTTATAGAGAGATAGGATCATGAGATGAATATCCCAGAATTCATAATAAATTCCAATCCAGAATTTCAGATATCTGAAATATGGTTTTTGCCATGTCATCTTCAGTTTGTCACAATTAAAACAACCTGAGTAGAATCTCCTAGTAGTCACATATCATACGCACGGAAGTACTGTTAATGCATCAATGAATGAAATAAGACAAGTGGCTACACATCTAGCCAATTAGTGATAAAAAAATTTACATTATCATTCAATACAGACAAAGATGTAATCTATGAAAAATTAGTTAACTTTTACCATAATTGTCTTTAAGAATCGTACCAACAATGATTTCTAATTAGTTATCAGTTCGTAAAATAGTCAATGCAAAGATATTAAACCCGAAAACTAATGCATATTTATACACCTATTCCATAAACTATCAATCCTACTAATAAGGAAACAAACAAATCATGAATACACATAGATAAGCTAAATTACTACAAAATACAATCTAAACCATTATAGCGTATTTTTTTTTTATTTTATATATTCAATTCTCAAAAAACCAAACCCCGTATTCATTCAAATCTTGTAGTAATTAAGAAAACCGCAATGCATCGCAAGTCTCAACGCGTCAACGACACAAGTTGCCTGCGTTTGGCCTTCAATCACAAGAACGAATTCATAAAACATGGTAGAGAAGATCACTTTGGAAATTTGGACCCCAAAGTTTCCCTTTAATTAAACCTTAAACCCATTAAATGGTTTCAAGTAACAACCACAAAGAAGAAAAATAAAAGCTAACAACATCATGTGAGAGAGAGAGAGAGAACCTTAGAGTAATGGTGAGAAGGTATAGCATGCAGAAAAGAGTGCCTTATATATAGGAGAAGGAAGAAGGTGGTGGGTGATTTGAGATATATAAGAAAAATAAAAAAGACAATAAAAAGAAAAAAAAAAAAAAAAAAAAAAAGGAAAAAAAAAAAAAGGAATAATAGAGAGGAAGATGCTGCTTACTCAAGAATCTTCCAAATTTTCTCCACGCATATTCTCCTCGTCTAAATTTTCCACACTTTTCTTATGCTATTTTGCAATGACAATTTCGCACTGGAAAACCCAAATTTACCCAATCATCGAACTCTGTTGAGGTTTTTGCGTTGTATTAGTACACTATTTGGGACTATTCTTCGTTGTCTCTTTGGGGATGTTTTCTCGTTGTTCTGACTCTAATAATTCAAATTATTAGTTGTGCAGTGTGACATGGACACTAGTTAGTTGGCAAGTTGGTAATTAACTGCAGAAAGACTCATTTACGTCCATATATAAGAAATAAATATCAAAATTATCCATATTAATAAAAAAAATTAGTTAAAATAATTAATTATAATTACTAATATATTATAATTTAAAATTTTATTCTAAAAATATTCATAAAATTAATTAATATAAATGATATTTCTATTTAACTAGTGAAAACAAAACACTTTGTACCTTGTTAGTATTGTAGGATGTGAAAATTACAAAGTAATTATGTTATGATTTATTTTTAGAAAATAATAATTTTTTTAAATTAACTACTTAAAAAAAGAATTATATAATTATCATACTAAATAAAAATAAAAGATAAAAATATCTTAAAATTTGTATACACAAAAATGATAAATCATCTTTATATATTATTATAGATAATACTATTCAAATATTAAATAATAATAAATAAATAAATTTATTACACAATTATTATTATAAATCATGGTGGTTAATAAGAAAGCTATTTTTTTCTTGTAACAAACAATAGTTAATATATTTTTAAATTTGTACTACCTATTTTACCCAAACAACAGTTAATAATATTAACCATTTTTTTATTTTTCTTCCTATAATCATTTAAAATATATAATATTTTATACATATTACTATATTAAATATGTAATAATATTAATGTTTATTATTTAGATATAAAAGTGCTCATTTATTCAAACAGATGTTATAATTAAGGTCAAAATAATTTTTTTATTAATTTTGTATATATAAAAACGAAGACTGTACGTAATTAATATATTATTTATCATGTATTCTATTGTTTTGCAATCTTTTATAATATATATATATATATATATAAAGATATTGAATAGATATTACATATTTATTATATTTTTATTTACTGTAACAAGAAATTTATTTTAAATTTAATTCATAAAAATATATAATATAGTAGTTAAAGTACTGACAATGAGTATATATTCTAATTAAATCAATCAATTAAATTATTAAATCTGATATATATATATATATATATATATATATATCTTAATTATAT